CAAAAAGAGCTGCACCAAAAAAAAATATTTTTTTTGCAGGCCTGTGTAATACATCCAAATGCGCTCTCCTTGGCTCACGCATACGTTATAAGGTCTAGATCTTTCTAAACTGTATTTTTTATTCCGAAAAATGAGATCTTTTTTGTTTCGAAAAAAAAAATGTTGACAGTACTTAAAAAAATATTAATTGTTGATATATTGATATTGTGCAACTTTCACTTAATATCGCTTAGATTATAGACTCTTTTGACATCTTATTTTGATGACAATTATGTTTTACTTATTAAAAAAATGATTGCAGTACCTACCTGGGTCATCTATTAGGTAGGTAGGTACACAATTCTTTAATGAAATATTTAAAAATGGAATTTAGTGGCCGCCATTTAAAAAATAGTAAAAAACCAGGAAATAAAAATGCAATATTGTTTCAAACAACCAATTAATAGGTACTCAATATCGCTATCGGTTGTTTTATCGTAAAAATGACGATTCAAGGCCCGAGGGTCACCGGCCTCGGCAATGCTTATAGTGATAGTGGCCTTTGTTGCCTTATCACTGGCCCTGAAGGTGCATTAGCCCTATTTTTTATAAGGCCTCAGCCACTTCATAATTGTGTAGGTACTTTTTATTACGCACTTCCACAACAAAGAGTTTTTATCTTGTCGGTTTTTATTTATGTTTGATGTCACTGGCCAGTGTGGCCTTGCTAAGATGAGAAATCAGTGTTTTTAAAAATAAAATAATAAAGGTACTGACTTTTAAAAGGCCAAACACAAACGTCGACCGCCAAAAATCACCTAAAAAGAAAAAAACGTTTGAAATTCGAATTAATAAGGTCGTTGTCCTGGCTTGCTAGTGGTAGTTACTAAAGGAAAACCCAAACATGAATATTAACGTTACACGTAACAAAATGACCAACATTCAATACAAACATAATAAAAAATATCCAAATGACATAACAACAATGTCCCTTACGTCAAATTACGACACAGGACATCGACAATAGTTACATAAGCGAATAAAAATGCGAGACACATACGATAAGCATGATTAGCTATTGCATCACGGGACACGCACACATACGTGATTGCGGTGACGATGAGTCGTGGGCGAGTGTGAGAAAAAATAATGTGAGGTAATAAAAAATAACAAAAATGTACTTATAAGGTTTCAAAAAATGTTGAGTTTAATAAAGTGAGCAAAAAAACTGATGAAAAACAGAATTGCCCTATTGTGAGGTCAATGAACTGTGTCTGAAGTTCGATAAAAAAAAGCGTTTTAAATTCAAAATAGGAACGGAAAATCTGATTCCATTTCTGATTATTATTTTCTTCTTTTTTATGTTTGAATTCCGTCTCATAACCAGCCAGTATTTTTATTTAACACTAGAAAGGCCGCCGTCCCATTTTTGTCCCACTTGCGAGTTTGATCGTCTCTAACTTTTTTATTTTTTAACGAAAGTTCATGAAACTTTTTGACTTTTTCTGATTTATTGAGTTTTATCATTTTTTAATGTTTTTGATACTATAATATTAATAGAAAAAAATTAAAAATCGGTTTTACCTAGAAGCGCCACTGGGTCAATTTTGTCCCACCCTAGTATTTGCAACAATAATTCGACGAAGAGTGCTTGTTTCGAGGAGATACGAGAGTGGAGAGGTGAGGAGCGTTTAGGTGACTTGTGACAATGCAGAAATGTAAATATATTGTACTAGTACTTGCCTGTGACTTCACCCGTGAGAAATCAAATTTATCATAGAAAGACCTAATTTATTTGCATTTATCGTTGTTATTTGACCAAATAACTGAACATTATTCTAAATTATAGCCTATATTATGTTATTCTGAAGTATTAGCAATAAAACTGCAAAGTTTTATTAAGATCGGCTCAGTATTTATTGCGTAAAAGAGTGAAAAAACATCGATCGATCTAACCATGAATCCATACTCACTTAGTTCAAGTTCAAGGCATATATCCACCCAATTATCCTTCATATCCATACATCAGTCCATCCATCCTTCAATTCATCAATCTTTATTAACTTTTACACTTATAATATTAGAAGGAAGGTGGCTTTTAGACATTGGCCAGTTCATACATTGTATGATTTGATACATTTTTAAAATGTGTAACTTGTACAATTTTGAAAATTAAACGTACATACTTTTCATTGTAACTGGTAAAAAACTTCACTGTGTGTGTATGGATAACAGAAAAATAACCATACCTATAGACATTCCTAAACACATAGTACACCAGAGAGACAAAAAAACCATACAAAAAAACTTTGTGCAAAATGTGCACTGATATTTTTAAGATATTTATTTTTCTTTCAAAAATAATAATGACTAGTTAAAGTATTAATTTCATAATTTTAATACAGTATAACACCACGTAATATGAGACTATTTTTATTTGAAACCAATAATATTTAACTTTTAATAATTCAAAATTAAAATTGAATACATTTATATTTTTAAAGAAATAAGTACATATTGATTTTATTATATAGATAAACCTTTTTTTAAGGATACTACAAACAGTTTTAACCATAATGTTCATGTCTGAAACTAAAAAATGTTACAAAATGTATGCTGGGACAAAATTGACCCAGCGGCGCTTTTAGGGGGGTCGCAATCTTCGGCACTTCTAGTGTTAACCGAAGATTGCACTCTGTTTGCATGTGTGCATTGCTTGCGTGTGCAATGTGACAATTCAATGCGCTAGTGTGCGTCATCAGAAAAAGAAATGAGGTTATCTGGAATGCGTTGTCATTGCACGCCTGGATTCGTATCTAGAAATATCGAAAGCTGTTGACTTCTTATCGCTGAAAAAAGTTTTGAAATACTTTTTTTTACTTTTCAAATAAAAAAAATAAGCAGAAATATAAGCAGATGTAATTGAGTGCAATTTTAGACTTTACCCAAAAATAAAACTGATTTTGTAGGTTTGTTAGAAACTCTTCCACGTAAATCAAACTACATTATTGATTTGATGAGACTCTAAGATATCGTGGAATGGTAATAAATGATGATCATTCTCATGTCATATATCATGCCCATCAAATTAATGTACCGATGTAGTCCTCATTCAACAATGTCTCTACATTACATTTTAGTAGCTATCCTTATAATTATTGTTGTCTTACCAGCCAGTTCATTCATAAATTGAACATTTTTTCGTCTTGATTTAAAAAAAAATTAGGCAGTCTTTTTTAGCCAGCACTAAAAAAAGTCTCCACGCGTTCCCTATTCCACACACACGTGCACAGTAGAGACGTTACACTATCTCGGTTTGTTGACATAGGTCAGTGACGGGCCACTCGAGCTGTGGCGATCAATTTCGATTAAAAAATGTGAGTGCTTTTTTGCAATTTTTTTTCTATAATTTTTTGATACGAAGTAAACTTCAGATACTAATTTGATAGTACATATTATTATTAGTAACATGGAAAGCATTGGGGGAGGCCTATGTTCAGCAGTGGACGTCCTATGGCTGAGATGATGATGATGATGATGATGATTAGTTACCTACGTAATTGTTTTTTTTTTTTTAATTCAAGATGTGGTTACTAGATGTCAATTACCTACGTTCTTTTTTTAAATAATAATAATTATGACGAATTTTTTAATCTACCGGCACTACTAAAAATAATAAGTCTTCGCATAAGATACGGGCAACTAAGAAATAACGCTCTACAACAGTCTTATCGTTTTTTCTTTGTGTGTAATTTTATCTTATTATGTTGACATAGGTCAGTGACAAGCGTCGTTTTATTACGTTTTTTATTGTCATAAGCTCATTGCGAATGTGTTTCATGGCATGCAGCTTTAGCGTTTTTACACAGGACGCATCTAAAACCTTTCTAAATGACCTCCTCCTTTTTTGAAGTCGGTTAAAAAAGTATAATAAAGATTTGAGTATTGAGTATTGAGTATTTCGTCAACAAACTGTCAAACTAAAAAAATCCCTGGATTGTCATACTCTGTAGTACTAGTATTTATTCTATGACTCTAACGGCATCAGAAGGGTTAATCCATAGTAAAACATTCGAAATTCAAATACTTAAATGTTCCACACAATTTTTCTTTTCTTTTAAAAATCGAACTCATTCAGAACTCAAAAGGTCAGGCCACAAAGAAATTGAACGCCATTTTTCTAGTCAAGGAAGTGGGCATAGTCCGTGGGCGGTCGGCAGATAGTGTATCTCGACTATCTCCGAGCGAGAGCGCGTGTGTTGTCTCGCTCTGTGATGCAACACAGTGAGGTTTGGATTGTTGGTTCTTTTTTCAAAGCATTTTTTTAATAACGGTAAATAGCAAAGGAATAAATAATACCCAAATGTAATAATAGTCTACTTAAAATTCAAGAACTGTATTTTTTTCATAGAAGCTAAAAAATTCAGTATTTTTTCAATTGATTTTTAAAAAGGTAGGTACTTATTCTTTATCTTTTTATTGGATCAAGCAATATTTGCTCGATTTTTTTACAATAATTAACATTTTTTTAATTGTTTTTTAGTTACCTAACCGACAGTCTAGATATTTCCAACAATAATACCTAACAATTGCTAATCACTCAATCAAACAAAAAGTGACAATCAGTGCAAATGCGTGAGCAAACTCGCCCAGGGCCAAGGCTGTTACCCGATAAACAGATTTAAGGTTCCGTAATAAATTGAATAAAACATTACGGCAACTGAAAAATGCTTAAACTGATTATTTAATTTTAAATCTGCAAAAAATTGAAGTGTGGGAGATGTAAGTACTTCTTACTGTGCTGGAAAGGTTATTTCTACACACAAAGATTATTAATTGAATTCCCACCGTTTTAAAATGACAAGTAATTATATTTTTTGTATTATTTTATCTAAATTACCTCAATTTTAAATTCCTTCAATAAATATTTACTCTATAGCGTGAACTAAAAAAAAATGCCTACAGAACCTTGAGAAAATAATAAAAGTCCCTTTTGTTACGTAGTGGAAGCGAAACTAAGGTTTTTAAAAACTAACTTTAATAGTACAACTGGTTACAATGAGATTTGGGATACGACTGATACAACTGAACTAGAACTAAGGAGTTTTGGGTATTTAAGGATTCGGGAATGGTGGGGATACACTTATGAGTAAAGTCGTTATCGTGAGAATAGTAAACAATCATTAAGAATAATAAACAATCATTAGGTAATGATACAATTAAATTATGGGAATGGCAAACAAATCATTTAAGAATAAAGATAGTTAATTAATTAGTGTACATACAAACAAATAGTAATTACAATATCAAGTACTTATTCTAAATGCTATTATCTAACACCTCCCCCCTTAGAACAAAGATTGGGCTGTTTTGCCCAAGGTTTGAGGATTGGGCGTTGCAGTGGGCGATTCGTCTTCGTCTTCAGATATAGAAGTTGTTGTATGATGAAGTGAAGCCATGGGTATCTGTACATGCTGTCGTCGTTGAGATCTGTCGAAACAGTTATTAAAAATTTGTATACACCCGCTACGATGACGTGTAGAGTTTGTGCGGAACATCTTGAATATGTTGATCTTGCAGCATTTAAAACATGTGAATATTAGTAGTAAAAATCCCATTATAAAACTGATATAGGAAAATTTTGACGAATGTTTTTCTATGAAGTTTTTCTTTTGATTTATGTGTTTCGTCTGTATTTTAATTTCTTCTTTTAATGTCTTCAGTGAGTCTAGTGGAATGTTGTTAATTTTTATAGGTATTAACTCCAGTGATGGTTCTTGTTTGGAGTATTCTGGAATACAAATGGTTTCTAAATCCACAGTTATGATAGGATGGCTGGTGTTGTAGGTCTTCCCGTTTTCAGCTGAGATTGTCGTTAATGCTGTATACATTTTACAATTCTCTTCTAGTGAAATGATGCCTGTCCCGGATATTTCACTATGGGTGGTTTTGTCGCCGCATTCCAATGCATATGGAGTTTTATGCTGTAGGATGAAGATCCACTTATTCGACTTTATTTCTTGGAAAGTGTTGATGTACGCTGAGAAAGTTGCGACTTCGCAGATGTCAGGAACATTTCTTGAAGTGGAGCTCAGGATCGACATTTCGCAGGTCGGTCTTGCGTTGACGTTGTAAACGATGAATTTGCAGACTTTCGTGTTCGATGTAAAGGTCTTGCAATCAAAGTGTTTTAATTTTGTCAAACTGGTAATGACGTCAATTTTGGGAGAAGGGGGGGGGGGTCATTAAGAAATGACGCTAGGATGATTGTAGGGGGGGGGGTCTAAAATCTGAAAAAATCGATGACGTAATTTATGGACGGCCCCTTTGTCACCGATATTAAATTTCGCTATGTTTTTAATATTATTGTCGTAACGTTCTTTAGCCTTTTCTTTCATATTATCAAGGTTACGACGGGCTATTTCACGTGAGATTTTAAGTCTTTCATTTAAGTCGCGTATGTAGTCATGTGTGGTGTAGTCGTTGTTTTCTTTCAGTGAATATAGAGGACGAGGTTTGAAACCGAAAAGTAGTTCGTGAGGTGTAAGACCTGTAGACTGATTAATAGAGGTGTTATGACATATAACGGCAAATGGTATGATTTGATCCCAATTGGAAAGATTTCGTTTGNATCTAACACCTCCCCCCTTAGAACAAAGATTGGGCTGTTTTGCCCAAGGTTTGAGGATTGGGCGTTGCAGTGGGCGATTCGTCTTCGTCTTCAGATATAGAAGTTGTTGTATGATGAAGTGAAGCCATGGGTATTTGTACATGCTGTCGTCGTTGAGATCTGTCGAAACAGTTATTAAAAATTTGTATACACCCGCTACGATGACGTGTAGAGTTTGTGCGGAACATCTTGAATATGTTGATCTTGCAGCATTTAAAACATGTGAATATTAGTAGTAAAAATCCCATTATAAAACTGATATAGGAAAATTTTGACGAATGTTTTTCTATGAAGTTTTCCTTTTGATTTATGTGTTTCGTCTGTATCTTAATTTCTTCTTTTAATGTTTCAGTGAGTCTAGTGGAATGTTGTTAATTTTTATGGGTATTAACTCCAGTGATGGTTCTTGTTTGGAGTATTCTGGAATACAAATGGTTTCTAAATCCACAGTTATGATAGGATGGCTGGTGTTGTAGGTCTTCCCGTTTTCAGCTGAGATTGTCGTTAATGCTGTATACATTTTACAATTCTCTTCTAGTGAAATGATGCCTGTCCCGGATATTTCACTATGGGTGGTTTTGTCGCCGCATTCCAATGCATATGGAGTTTTATGCTGTAGGATGAAGATCCACTTATTCGACTTTATTTCTTGGAAAGTGTTGATGTACGCTGAGAAAGTTGCGACTTCGCAGATGTCAGGAACATTTCTTGAAGTGGAGCTCAGGATCGACATTTCGCAGGTCGGTCTTGCGTTGACGTTGTAAACGATGAATTTGCAGACTTTCGTGTTCGATGTAAAGGTCTTGCAATCAGCTAGTGAGTTTGTGATTGCGTACTGTTGCCTTGTAGTACTAGTGGCAATGTAAGTTCGCTCGGGAAGGATAGTAGAATATAAGGATGAATCAGGATGGGATATAGGGATGGAATATAGGTGATATAAGGTAAATTTATCATTTATGACTAAGGGAAATTTTAGAACATATACTAATTTGTTCATATAAATATATGAGCTGATAGAAGCCGACTCTAAGATTTGGTGAATATTGCTGAGAGTGACGGAGGCTACTAAGTTTCTGTTAGATCGGAATGAACCAGTTGACAATAGCTCTTTGTATAAACGATTGGTTGATATGATCGAAGGATGTATTGCGCCAGATTTAATAAATAGTATACTACTTATTATGTCGTCTATATCTTTTTCTAAGGATGTAACTGCTTCGAGAATTTGGATAGCTACCGTTGACATTTCTTCTGAGATAGTTAGATTAAATAGTATTTTGTTAGTTGAATTAAAATATGAATTGATTTTTGCTAGATTTTCGTTGATTAGATGTTCATCGTAGGATATCTTTAAAATGGTTTCATTGAAATTGGTAATAGTAGATGAAATTATTTGTAACTGTTGATTGAGGATTTCATTGGTTGTGATCTGCTGTTTTTCTAAGAGTTGAATGCATTCATCATAATGTTTAGCATCCTTGGCATCAGGTGTACCAATAAGCCATTTTAGTAATGAACTAAGTCCGTCTAATAGCTCACGTTTGGTTCTTTTATTATTAGTATAAAGGCTAAGTTCATCGAGTCTAGTATCGATTTTGTCTAAGTTTAATTTAATATAAGAACTAGTGGTAATTGTACTAGGTAGGTTAGGATACCTTGATATTAAGGTTTGATAATTATAGGCAAGTCTTTTAAGAGAGTCTCGGCTTAGGAATAAAGGTTCTAGATTACGATAGATAACAAGTTTCCATGAATCATCTGTGATTAGTACATCTCCGTCGTTTTGGAAGTAAAGCCCGGAATTGGAAGGGATTGGTGAGATTTCGGTATTACCATCAACATATGTTGTGGAGTACCTGGAATAATGAAATTTAGTTTATTTATTAATTATAAGTCTATTTACGAGATTCATAAAAAGTTTTGATATAAATGTATATTTTATATAGGATAATGTAAAATATTATTTTAATAAGTGAGCAAACTATGAAACTAAAATAGGGATTATGTATTATTGTTTTGAATTTTTCCATATTAAAGTCGTTGTTATTGATTGCAGGTATTGAGGTAGGATGTGCCATACATTGGGTCACCCTGGAAAGATAAAACGAATTCTAACTTATTTAAAACAATATAAGGATAGGTAAGACTAAAATTAATTATTTACATGAGGTGAATTACGTGTCTCTGATGGAATCATGCAATGGCCTTAGGCGGTTTGCATGCACTAATTGATTCTTTCCAGATTTTTGAATGACGTAATTTTCGTTAAATCCTATTCTAATTATACTATAAGGTCCATCCCATTTGCTATCTAAGTTGTTGGGATTGGGTACCTTGAGCATTACTTTGTCACCGATATTAAATTTCGCTATGTTTTTAATATTATTGTCGTAACGTTCTTTAGCCTTTTCTTTCATATTATCAAGGTTACGACGGGCTATTTCACGTGAGATTTTAAGTCTTTCGTTTAAGTCGCGTATGTAGTCATGTGTGGTGTAGTCGTTATTTTCTTTGAGTGAATATAGAGGACGAGGTTTGAAACCGAAAAGTAGTTCGTGAGGTGTAAGACCTGTAGACTGATTAATAGAGGTGTTATGACATATAACGGCAAATGGTATGATTTGATCCCAATTGGAAAGATTTCGTTTATGATACATTCTTATGTGATCTCGTAATGTCGCATGGAAACGTTCTAAAGAACCATTAGTTTGAGGATGATAGGCTGTACTAATAGTGTGACTTGAGCCAAGTAATTTCATGAGTTGTTTGATGACATTGTTAACGAATTCTGTGCCTTGATCAGAGTGGAATCTCTTGGGGGTGCCATAATGTTGGCAAAATGTCAGAAGATTTCTAGCTATGGTAGTTGCTTGTTTATCAGGTATAGGATATGCTTGTACAAATCGAGTTAGGTCATCTTGTAGTGTCAAAATGTATTTATTAGATTCGTTAGTGGTATCTGAATAGGATACTAGATCAATCGTTACGCGTTCGAAAGGTTCTGTTGAAGAAGATGTTATAACCATTGGGGCTTTATAAGTTTTTCTTTGGATTTTATTACGTTGACATATTTGACAATTGTCTATGTATTCTTTGATCACGTCCGTCATTCCTTTCCAAAAGTATTCGTTTCTAATTTTACGAGTTGTTTCTACGATTCCGCGATGGCCAGATAAAGGATCATCGTGATACATTTTTAAGATTTGGGGAATTTCATCAGGATTTGGTGTTTTAACTTTGTTTTCACATATGGTTATTTTACAATCATATGCGTCAGCAAGGTAGGCTGTGATATGTAATTGCTCGTTGCCTTTGAGTTTGCAAGTGGTATCGTTTTTCAATTCTGGAATGTGGAGTGTTTTGAAGTCGTTTTTCTGTAGACAGCTTAGAAGTGTTTTAAAATAACTTTCGGCGTCCCATGAATCAAAATGAGTGGGTCTTGAACAGCCGAATATTAAGTTTTGGTTTTTGTTAGAAATTAATAAATCAACGTCGTAAAGTATCCGTTGTTTTTCGAGATAAGGGTCTACTTGAGAGCACTTGGATATCGCTTCGTTGAAAAGGTCGTTTTTGTCAGAAAGTTCACAAGAAATGGGAATAAGAATGTTTTTATGTTTGTCGTTTAAAAGGCAATCTGGAGAGGTTTGGAGATTAGGAGTGTCGAAGTTGTAAGAGGGGTTCTCTGAGAAATGTTGATAATTGATTTCTAAATAATCATCGGTCGTATCGGTATTTGAATTATGAGTTTCGTTATCGTCAGTGAGATCTATAACATTTGCGTTTAAGATTGGAGGTCGAGAGAGAGCATCTGCGTTGGTGTTGTTTTTGCCAGCTTTATAAATAACTTCGTATTCGTATTCTTCAAGCTTAAGGCGCCAGCGAACTAAACGACTACCTGGGTCTTTAATTGAAAAAAGCCATGTGAGAGGTTTGTGATCTGTAACTATTTTAAACTTTCTTCCAAACAAATACGGTCGAAAGTGCTTAACAGCCCAGACTATAGCCAATAATTCTCGTTCTATAGTAGAATAGTTCGATTCGGCTTTATTTAAAGTTCTAGACGCGTATGCTATAGGTAGGTCCTTACCTATTTCACCTTGTGATAATACAGCGCCTATTGCACTTATAGAGGCGTCAGTGGTCAAAATAAATTCTCTACTGAAATCAGGATATTGTAGTATAGGAGGACTAGTAAGAAGACGTTTACATTCGTCAAATGATACTTGTTGTGTTTGACCCCAAATAAATGGAACGTCCTTTTTTAAGAGGCTAGTAAGTGGTTTTGTTATTTTGCTAAAATTCGATATGAAGCGACGGTAATAACCCGTTAAGCCAAGAAAGGCTTTGATGTCTTTGCATGATTTAGGAGTGGGGAATTCTTGTACGGCCTTTATTTTATCGGGGTTTGGTTTTACACCTTCATTGGATATGATGTGTCCTAGGTAAGCTACTTCGCGCCTAAGGAATTCGCACTTATCGGGTTGGATCTTAAGTTCGTATTTTCTAAGTCGTGAAAATACTTCGTGAAGCCTTTGTTCGTGTTCTTGAAGGCTTGAGGCGAAAATAACTATATCATCTAAGTACACAAAACATCTCTCGCCTTGAAGTCCACATAGAACAGAGTCCATGACCCGTTGGAAGGTCGCTGGTGCACTTTTAAGTCCAAAAGGCATTCTTTTGTACTCGTAGTGACCGTATGGAGTGCTAAATGCGGTCTTAGGAATATCTTTGGGATCTACTTCGAGTTGGTGAAACCCAGATGCGAGGTCTAGGGTTGTAAAATATTGTGAGTGCCCTAATTTATCTAGAATGTCTGTAATGTTCGGCAGTGGGTAACTGTCACCGATTGTTACCTCATTTAATTTTCGGTAATCTATTACTAATCGCCATTTACGTTTACCCGAGGCATCTGTTTTTTTAGGGACAACCCAAATTGGGCTACTCCATGGAGAGGAACTTGGTCTGATTATATCTTGTTCTAGCATTTTTTGAACTTGAGTTTTGACTTCGTTTTCGTGAACTTGTGGGAATCGATATGTTTTAGTGTGAATGGGAGTGTCAGTTGTAGTAGTTATTTTGTGTTTTGTATGATTACTGAAAGATAAGGTGTCGCCTTCGAGGAAAAATAAATCTGAGTACTGGGAAATTATTTTATTTAATGACGTGGATTCTTCCTTGTTTAAATGATCTCGTCTTATGGACGACAGAACTTTGCTTTGTCTATCAGATTGGGACATGGGATTTAAATTATTTATTGGATGTTCATTTATATTAGATATTTGTTCATTCTGGTCAAAAGGACTAACTTCGAGTGTGGGAATATTGATAAGTTCATCATTTTTGTTTGTGTTTATACAAGTGATAACAAATGAGTTGTTTTCGACGCTAACTAATGCGTGTGGAATGATGATGCCATTAGCTAATGTTTGTTTTTCGACTAATGCGGTTCCCGTATGAATACTATTTGTGTTACACATAATTACTGTTTCTGAGCGACTATTAATTAATTGTTTATCGGGGTATTCATTTTCCTTGGGACTGTCGCTTAAGAAATGGAGTCTATATGTTTTGTCACGTAATCGCATTGTTTTTGATTGAATATAGAGGTGGCAATTAAATTTGGACATGAAATCATTACCTAAAATACCGTCTGCTTTAATGTTTAGGTCGGCAACATGGAATTTGAATTTAGGTAAATTGTCAAGGGATATCTCGGTAGTTCCCGAGGTAAGGGTTGAACTTTGTGTGCTCGAGATTCCTACAATGGATGCGATGTTAGATTTATCTATATGTGAAGATCCAATTTTGTTACTTTTTATTACCGAGATTCCTGCTCCGGTATCAATTAATAAGGTGACTGGCTTTCCTTCGATGTGAAAGGTGCCGTGTAAAAGATTTTCGGGTGGAACATCGTTCAAAGATGAGATTGCAAAGGATTCAATTTTAGGTTTCGACTTAGAAGTTTTAGGATTTGATTTAGGTTTCCTTTTTGACTTTGATTTCGATTTAGGATTTGTATAAGTAGATTTGGAATATGATTCAGTGATAGGACCAAGGGTTTGGGGCTGGTTACCCTGTTCGTTTGGTGCTATATTTGATTTAGTAGATTTAGTACATGATTCGGTGATAGGACCAAGAGTTTGGGGCTGGTTACCCTGTTTGTTTGGTGCTATTAAAGATATAGAAGTTTGTACAGACGCGTCTCTAAACTGTTTGTTGCGGACAGTTTGAGTTTGTGAAGACGCCCTGTTAGATTCAGTGGCTTTTGAGGATGATTGATTGAGTCTTAGAGTTGGAGGTTGTCTATGTCCTGTGTTAACAGGTGAGTCGGAGTCTGTGAGCAAGATACTGTAGCGATTTCCAACGAGTTGCTCATTTCGTTGGTCGCCCAGGAGTTTAAATTATTGACTTGCGCTGGAGGTGCGGGCAAGGCTTTTTGTGCCTGATTATTACGGAGATTATTGTTATAAGCTCGTTTACGACAATCAGCAATTTCGTGTCCTACATTCTTGCAGTAATTGCATATTTTTGGGTTCTGTGCAGTGAAATTTGAATTAGTTTGTGGGTGAGGTTGATTTGGAGGTGTGAATCTGTTATTTGAATTATATCTTGGTATTATTGTTCTATGAGTTGAATTATTAGTATGTCGAGGGACTGTCGGCCTGAATAGTGGCTGACGGGCATTATTTGTTGGGACTGCTAATCTGAATAATGTTTGACGAGCATTATTCATTGCTCGGATTTTATCCTCCTGCATAGCAAAGCGGCCTGCCTCAGCTAATGCAGTAAAACCTTTGGTTCTGAGCATTGTTCCTATGTCGGAACTTAATCCATTAACGAAGACGCTTAGTGCGGTTTCTTCAGTAGTCGCTAAGCGACCTGATAATGTGTCATCGATGATTTCGGCGTTTAGTTTTTCTATTATTTTACTCCTACATAGATCGACTCTATGAAAGTACTCAGTGATACTTTCGTTGGGTCTTTGGAATAAAGATTGAAGTTCTAAATTTAAATGTGGAATTGTTTTGACATTGGAGAACCTGTCTATCAAAAATGTGCGCAAACTGGTCCAACATATGTGTTGTTTACTGTGCACGTCTGATGCACCTGAACCGGTGATATTATTTAATGTATATACAAGGAGTATTGCCTTCTGGTCTTCGGTGGCCAATTTGAAGGCAGAGTCGCAAGATCTGACGAATCTATAAATTTGATCATTTTTGTCAGTGTCGAAGGCAGGGATTAATTTTAAAAGTGTTGAGATGTCGAGAGTCATTTTGGCTTTGTATGACGCTTCGAAAAATGAGGATAATTCGCTGTATAATTGATTACAGGGTTCGTTCTTGATTTCCTTTGTCATTAGTTAATAATTTAATTAAAATGGGATCTAAGATATGGAATAAGATATGGAATAAGATTTAGTAATGGTATGGTATAGAATAATAGATATAGTAATAAATAGGGAATAGAAGAGCGAAACTAGTTATGCCACTTACCACAGTAACAGTATTAAATGGATCTGCTGCATGGTTCGGCGAAGTTCTCGAAAGCTTGCAGCTACCGTCACGTCGATGTTTCTTCTTCGTTGAGCGATGTTGTCTCGTTGATGATGAGGTTTCGACGTACGACGTTTACTTCGACTTATTACGCACTGATCACGCGAGATCCTACCGACTGCGCCAAATTGTTACGTAGTGGAAGCGAAACTAGGCTTTTTAAAAACTAACTTTAATAGTACAACTGGTTACAATGAGATTTGGGATACGACTGATACAACTGAGCTAGAACTAAGGAGTTTTGGGTATTTAAAGATTCGGGAATGGTGGGGATACACTTATGAGTAAAGTCGTTATCGTGAGAATAGTAAACAATCATTAAGAATAATAAACAATCATTAAGTAATGATACAATTAAATTATGAGAATGGTAAACAAATCATTTAAGAATAAAGATAGTTAATTAATTAGTGTACATACAAACAAATAGTAATTACAATATCAAGTACTTATTCTAAATGCTATTATCTAACAAGAGGCAATAATTTACTAAAAAAATAATTGTTATGATTCTTATTTTTTCTTGCTATGATTCTTTCCCAAAGACGCTGAATCTTCTGGAAACTTCATTCTGAATCTGCCACCAAATTAAACCACATGCGGCCAGTATTTTTACGTTTGGTGGCATCTTTGAAATAAAAATAAAAAATTTGCAAATTCGAATTCCCCAGATTCTAATTTTAAATCTGGCCCATGAGCGCTGGTGCAAGTAGGTGCAAACAGTGCGGCCAGTATCCTTGCAACAAGAGCGTATTTATTACTGCGGAGGATCGTATGTCTCCCGCGATATCATTGCTCCGGCTCCGGTATCGCCACAAATAATGTGATAAATCAGCTGTCACTCATTAGATGATGCTTTATGAGCAACTGATTGGTGTTGACGACCTCGTTCGTCGATGCACATCACTAACAACAATTATGATTACAAAGACAAGATGTCGTGTCGTGGTGCAAAATCTATCGACAAATATACAGGGTGTTTGAACGAGTTACATTTACAGATTTCCTGCTCGGGAATATGAACATCTGTTATCGAACTTCTGCTACAAGAAATCGCTAGTTCGATCCCCGTTAACCGCTGCATTGTTGTGGTCAAAGTGGTAGAATAGGTAAAAGGAGGGGTTATAAAAAACAAATTCCTATAGTAAAAAAAAACATTGTAAACATTTGGGTCAAGTAAGTTGACATTAAACACGCGTAATACTCCTAAATATAATTAATGTTGTGACACAATACAAACATCTCAGAATTCGATTGAGAAACTAGGCAAGTGTGTCTGCGAGTGTCATTATGAATCACAAATCGCCGTTCTAGGTCAAGAGCCCGCTGGAGGATCCGTCCCAACTCCCAATTATTACGAAACGGCTTCAGTTCTCAAGTTTAAATTTTCAGAGAGTAATATTTTTCTTTTTATTGGCACTCTGTTGAAACAGCCGAAGATAAGCTTTAGCGCAGTTTTTATTTCAGATTAGTAGTCTGATATTTGGGTTTTCAGATCACTTTTTGAGATTATTGGTTAAATATTTTTGATAGAGTCGCTGTTTTAAGACTGCGGTGATTCTGTCAGACTCCAAATCCTCTTTTGGACGCAGTTGGGTAAAATATTTTATGAGATTGGATGTGATGTAATATTTTTTAACAAATCACAGACAATAACAACTACCTATTCGGAATATAATGACCATTATTACATCACACTTTTGTTTTCGGCTATTGTTTTCATTTGTTGTTATGTCTCATCTTATTTGTCAATCTATGGACTCTAAAAACTGGACTTAACTCTGTTAGCAGTCTGTTTACGTATTGTAATTCGATAGAACGATAAATTATGGTATAAACCACCATAATTTTCCGCAACTACTTATTTACTACATGGAATACCGGATTAGAAAACGGCTTTAAGTTCAACAACGGACCTTTACGGCCACCTGCAAGTAGACCTAGCATAGTGTAGCATACTATGTTGGAAATATCGGCACAGATTACAATCTGACATGGGTTTTCACTGCGGATATTTTATCTGTACAGCACAGAAGAGATAGGCCACAGTGCAAGTAAATGCAGTAACACTACTTTTCAATGGGTTTTTTTTCTGACTGGCTTTTGCTTGATTCTGAAACGGCCCATATTCGCTAGAGACGATCATTTATGAATCAACTGCTCAAGAATGGATTCTCTATGAATTAAAAGGAGATGCGTTCTTTTCCATGGCATGGCATCTCGATGATGAATGGGGATGATGGAAAGGAGTCCCATAGTTTCTCTCTTATGCGATATGAAACTTTTTGATCAAGACGCGCGCGCATAAAGGGCTTTCTGTGAAATCCACGCTGCCAAACTGCGGGAAAATCTTAGTCAATGAATGAAACATACTTATATTATGTTGTATTGTGGAAATGCAGATAACATAACATAATATCGCGCAGCATGGGTTAATGACCTAGCTTCTTTTGCCGCTCCAGCTGTATTTGCTGTTTGTTTTTTTAATGGCAGACCTTTCGTACGAGTTTCCGCGGCTTTTGTGGAAATATGGAAATGAAAGGAATATGGACTACATTTTTAATTAAGCGAAGGCTGATTTTTCTTCTACGTGCTTTTTAATTAAGCGGTTCAAGTTTTTTCTTTTAACAAAACAGTATAATTAAGAATGAATTAGGTACAAATAAAAAGCTTTTGTTTAGAATGTGATAGATTGGATATTATCCTCAGTTTGAATAAAAAGTTGGCCATATTTACGTGAGAATTAAGATACAGTAGAGTCTCTCTGTAGCACATAGAGATTCATTTAATTCCTAATAAATAAAATATTCGCTATTTCAATTATATTTCGCGATTCCATCATAAATATTCACACATAATCACAATAGCCCTGCCCTTAATAAAGCATTCGCTTTTCACTGATCACAAATATGGGTCACGTGACCGTCGTATCATATGTTCGTATGATGAACATGTACTCGTATTTATACCGAAGTATGTATATCCTAGTATGTTTTATCAGTTACCTATCTAATCGCTATGGTAGAAGCTCTGTTGTTTTGGGGCAAGGTGAATGGTGAGATTGACAACAATAAGTAATACCTATGTAAAGTCACAAAATATATCCTAAATGAATTGCATTTAATTGCAAAAAGTATCATTTAAATCCAACTACTTCTTAATAAAGCCTAATCTATATAAATAAAAATGAATTGATGTTCGTTAGTCTGATTAAAACTCGAGAACGGCTGGGCCGATTGAGCTGATTTTGGTTTTAAAATGTTTGTCGTGGTCCAGGGTAGGTCTAAACGGAGAGCAAATACGCGCGCGATATTGTTTTTCTGTGACAGACAAAATTCCACGCGGGCGAAGCCGCGGGCGGAAAGCTAGTATAAATTAATTTTCTAAATCCTATAATTTAGCACTCTCATGTTTTGTAAAATAATAAGAAAACTACCTACAAAATTACAGCTCACTTCGAGGAAGCTGATTAAATATCAGATCGTTGCGAACACCAAACCAAGGAATCTTATTTTCCATCAGCAATTATTAATAGTTGCCAGTTTTATCGCACAATACGCGAGTGTTGCCAGTTACGCACGCTGCCTACATAGTTTGCGGAAGTGCCCTCGTATACAGAGCGTATGTAAAGGACTACATAAAAAAAACTTCTACGTACCTACTACTGAGAGGCTGTGCTGAACTAAGATATTGCACTATTTAGCCATCTGTGAACAAGAAGAACTGGGGCTACAAGGCTTTTATTCTGAAAATTATGTTTCATCGTGTGAAGCTTAAAATTATGACTTAATTTTAAGCTTCAATAAGGGTCGTCGAACTGCTCCGAGGAACCGAGAAAACAAAATTAAATAGATAAATATTGAATAGGTGAAATAGGTGAAAGCCTTCTCCCATTCGACACGCATCACAATTTTTTTCTTCACTGCGATAGCCTTAGCTCAAATTAATAGATAAATTAATAGGATAGAATGTACACACACACCCTGTATTTTTAAACAGTTTCCCAATACGCTATGGTTTCCTGGAACGCTCGAGCTATCAGCTAGATCGTCTGTCCGCTGTGCGTCCATTAAAATTTATTATAGAGAAACTACGTGACTTCTTCCACTTCCAAAGTGTATGCGCACGAGTCGATTTTTGTGCTCACGTAATTATTGGTTTTTCGCAGTGTGGTTTATGTTATTTTTTGGCTTTAATAGCTTTATTGCTATGAGTAACAAAAGCCAGACAGGATAGGCCCAAGCAAAACACGAACAAGGTCTCTTACGTAACTCACCGATAGCTATTTTATTACTCATTAATATCCGATATTGCCAACTTATCTTTTTACTTACTTTGAACATTTTAGCTTGTGAGTCATTCACGTGGGACGGTGGGACGCCCTTTGCGTTGCAATTCACTACGCAATGGTTGAAATCAATTCAAATCATATCCTGTTTTACGCCTAATAAAATGATGATGGTTCATGCAACTTTGACCTTGAATGTGGCCAAATGTCCGTGAGCCAAACAACTGCACACATTATCAGTCTACAGGCCATATTATGCAGATTTTCTAAGAATTTCTAAGGCAGAGGCTCCACCTGCGTGCTATTTCTTTTTAAGGCCGAAACATGAGCTCAGGTTTTTTTTCAAGACATGTTTTAAATTCCAAGTCTGTATTCTGGTATCGCCTTTCTTCGAAAGGGCGAAAAATGTCTCTTATATTTTGAGAATATGATAAAGTGAATGCCCAGACAGTCAGACATAAAATTTCAATGTAACAGCAGAGTTAACACTGTGGCGTCGTGCCAAATGCGTCTTGAGTAAATTGCATTGTTGCATCGGTTTTTTCTTTTGCGGAATTCTTGAATTTCGGCGAAAAACCTAAGTGGAGTGTGAACGGAAACCCGTCTGCTACCCACCAGTATTTTGGTTCGCGACGGCCATTGAAAGTGACAATGGGACCGCATGCTTTGAATAACAAATCGCTGTGCACGTCATTTCATTATGATGTGTAATTTAGAAATGGTCAGTTAAGCCCGCGGTTAAAGTTGTCTTGTAGAGTCGGTGATGTGTTCGATAACCAGATGAAACACATAGTTTAATTATTGGCCGATTTTACTTGGTCAGTCCAGCGCATAGGTGACTGCCAGCGGTCCTTCAACTGAGGCTTGTAAATCTTGTAATGTTACAGTAAAACAAAACCTTAGACTAAAAGTTAAAACTATGATTGACGGAATTCAATTGGACTTATCACAGGCTAAAATCTATTATGAGTACATTCGTAGCGAATGTGTCTCGTATATGCACAAACCTTTATGGCCATAAATGGGCCCAATTTTGTTATTCGGCAAGTTACGGGTTCCGCTGATTCACCCTTGAGTTGGGTCACCTTGGTTTGTTGCTTCTTTCTTTTTTGTGAATCTGGGGCAGGTTTGGGAGTTATCGTGGCGGTCGAATTAGGCCGGTTGCACAGTTGCAGCGTTATCATAAGAAAAATAGAGTTGTAGCGGTTGAATCGCGCATTGCAGATTTTACTGCTAGCTCGCATGGACTGTGTGTTTATTTTTGTTTTTACAAGTAAAAATAAACAGAAGTGATTGTGTTCCGAATTGTTCGTACTTCTACTGTAGAAAGATGGCTGATCGAATAAAATTGAATTTTCTTTTCATCATCGTCATCGACACTTAAAAGTTGTAGTGTAAAAAAGGCCTAACAAGGATTTATCATAATAATGTAACATCCATATAAAAAATATTCATATTTCTGTTAGATTTATAATGTTTTTCACTAATATTGTGCGTGCCCAATTGATAAAGCAATTTACCAAGTAAGTGAGTGTATCCTGTATTATTTGACCTAAATATCGTCTCCTCGTGTTCCTGACAATTATTGGCCAGCTAATAGCTATTAGTCTACATACAACAACGTAAACAAAATGTAATATCCGCAACGATTGACGAGAAGGGTTGCCACAACCAAACAACAAAAACAATTGTTTATTCCTTATTCTATCCATAGTCGAATAAAGCTTTGAAAATCAATTGAAGACAAAAAATAAGAGGAAAACGTCAGTATTTTCTAGTTTAGTAGGGTATTTGACACCACCAATCAATTGACGTACTTTTTAAAACTGTCAAAACGACACTCTCCCATAGATTTTGTACGGCAATACTAGCATGTGACGTCACAATTTTATCAACTCAATGAAACTACTTTTTTCAATTATAGTGCAACGAAAAATCGTAATTTACAGGTAATTAAAAATTAATTAAGTTTTTAAGACCAGAAAGAAGTGTCTTTTTAAAAAAGTTGTGCTTTAGGATTATTGGGAAATGGTGTCAAATACCCAATTGTGACATAGCAAAATTGATATTATGCTAGCACTGGCAAAATGGTAACCCTACTAAACACGTGCTCTGCCTATTTAGTACACAGTGGTCAGTCAGCGGGGACTTGCTTATTCGATTTGCAAGCCCTTTGGGACCACGGCAACTGGATCTGTTCAGTACATCAGACTAACATTTTGGTTGTAAAATAGCACCTATTATAAGTATCAAAAGGTGCTATACTGTTTAGTTACGTGTTACCTTGGGTATTTTGTCTGAAACCACAAATTCAGTTTTGTGTTACACCAGTGGACCTTTGAATTTGAAAGCCTTATTTTATCTCGTCCCGAAAAGTCATGATCTATGTACATGATTAGACACCTAACTAAATAAATATGTCCCTTAACTCATAGTGAAGGTGGAGACTGTAGTGTACTTACAACACTGCAGTAACACCCAGACGCTCTATTTTTACAGAAAATTTAAACTTTTCTGCTTTGCTGGCCCTCTGTTTGTATCTATCAATTCCAATAACATAAAAAGCTCCCAATAGTCCATACCATAGGACTAGGAAAGTGAAAAATAACTTTTATACCCGCTGTCTTAACAATACGCTACGCTGTATGTGATTCTATAGTTTAGGCACAGTTTAGGTGTTCCTTCCTACTACCTCATAACGATCTGAACCTTCCGACCCGAATCCTACAGGAGCTACCCAGTAGTCAAGTCACGTCTAACCAGCAAATCGAACTTAAATTCTATTGAGGTAACGGTTAAGACGTTGACCCACATTTTTGATCGCTGCACATAGTTTTATTGTGCTGTAAAACCCATTCATGTAAACACACATGCGACCCACAAAACTGTAAAACAAGTTTGTTTGAAACACCTGATGTTCAGGATTTTATTGCCATTAAAAATTACAGTAGCAGTGTTTTTGTTACTGAATGAGGGATCAAAAGGAAGTCGAAGCGCTATATTTTGAAAGAAGAAAGCAAGAAAAAAGTAACATAAACCAAAAATGGTTTAAATCAATCATAATGTTTTAGTTTCACAGTAGGCAATGAACAAATAAATTGCAATTTTAAACTGTAAATGCAAAAAAGTGCATTGATTGAAGGAAACCTCAAAACTGTTTAATAAAATTCCAGAAGTTGCTTCTTAGCTAGTCATCTTTTGCGTGTACCTACTTATTATTATTCTGTGGTTATATGCAAATCTGCGTAATGGAAAGTTAAAAATTGATGAGACTAGACTAATGATTCATGTGGTTGCTTCATAGGTATCTAACGTCAGTATGAATTTGTCTATCTTAGAAATAAACAATGATCTACTAGTGGATGTTTGTTTACAAATATCTGAATATCTCCGCTGTTGAATAGGCGTATTGATTAGAATCGTGTGATAGCGCATGATAAATGCAGTCTCAAAATAGGTATAACAAAGTATCTACCTTATCAAAACTTTCAACAATACATCTTACGAGTATGTGCGCTCCGCAAAAAACATACAACTGAAATATAGGCAAATTACCTTACTGAAAACAACACTTCACTATGCAATGTTGTAGGTAGGTTAGGTACCTTCTACATACATTTATTTTGTTTATACATAAACGTCCTACGTGTACATACAATGAATGCGGTACTGAATACTCGTTTGCGGTTAGATTTGCATCGATGTCGCAAGAGCGATGCAGCGAGTTTGGACCTATTGTGCGCTGTATTGTAAAGATATAGGCCTAACATACCATAGTATGATAGTACCCACTCCCATTTTAAATTGACGAACTCTACGAACGTAGGAGATACGTATTAGGCAGATTAGTTTCACTGTCATACACAGAGTAAATTGGGTAGGGTCCACATACATAACTTCATCTTGTCAAGATGTTGAGGGTAGATAAGCTTAAGCATGTATTGTCATCACTTGGGTCGTCTTGAGCTTATCAGATTACCAAAATCTTGGTTCAATAATGTTCTACAAGTCAATGAACCTTGACAAATTAAACCAGGGAAGCAAGCCACCATTACAATGCGTTGTCTAAGCGTAGATTACATAATCAAGCCTAAGTTAATCACTTGACAGAATAAAGCTACAGCCCTTAACATAAGAGTCAAATACCTATGCAATCTATCACATACTTACTGCCTAATATATTCGCCCTGCTTCTACTTAAGGAAACCTTTTCGTTTTCCAGAAAACACGTCATCGAAGTTGCTAATGTTCTTGTACTAAAATTTAAACATACCAGTACCCCATGCCAAGAGTCATGAGTGGTGGTTCCGGGCTATGGATAAGGGAATGATCCAGTCTTCCCCTATGTGCAACCCGGGGACGCGTCCAATGGCAGACCCAAAACTGCACACGGATTGCACATTCGACCTTTTTTTCCGGTCAAAACATACATGAAATTGAGCTATGTGGGGCTCCCCTCAAGGATGAGGCATACCTATTAAAATAACCCTGGTATACTCCGTGGATCGCCTTTGTGAGAACTAGGGGAATCCGGACAGCCTTCAACTACCACAGTCCCTCCGGATTACAATTCGACCTGCTCTAACTTTACCTTCTCCGTTCCAGAAAACTCGTCGCCCAGTTCAGTCGCGAGGAGACCTCCCTACTAGTCCTCCGCGTGATGGTGGGCCTGATCATCCTGTACGATTGGGTGCACCCGTCGGGCGCCTTCTGCCGCTCATCTTCAGTCGACGTGAAGGGCTGCGTGAAATTCCTGCAGCAACAAACGCCGGCCAAGGCGGAGCCGTTGCTGAATGCTCTTAGGTAAAAAATAGCTTTACTTACTATAATAATTGCTAAGGGTTCCAATTTTTTATTAGTTAAGCCCTTTTCTGGACACTTACATACAATTTTTTAGGGTAGCTCCCCTACATGTAAAGTGGGGATGAAATTTTTTTCATCTTCTACCCCATCGTGTGGGGTATCCTCAGATCATAGAAAGAGAATAGATATGAAGTCGCGCGTAACTACAACGAGAACCAGTGTCCCCACATTTCCCCCACCACAGCTCCCACACACACATTCAACTGTGTAAAAACAAAGCGACTGAGAGTCTACGACAACATGTGCAACCGGCTTAAAAGTGCTGTGATTGGCCAGAAGGCGTGCCTTATGGCCAATCAATAGCCGCGTGACGTGACGCACACTTTGAAAAAAGNTTCTTGGTATTCTTGTGTAAAAGGCGGCCTGGTTATGCCTTTTTAACGTGTATCTTAAGTTTGTATGCCATAAATTGAAAGTTTCAGCCATCTCCCGCTGCATACGCCCTTGACTTCTAAGCAACACTATTTGAGCAACTTGAGCTGGAGTAATGGGCATTATTCTCAAATTATGGAATCGAGAATAACCCTAAGATTAATTTAAAAACAAAAAACAAAACGCCAAACCCTTACAACATTCAATATCGAATTTAAACTTACCCATACTCTTTACGCTCCAACAACGAAATACGTTTCTAGAGTCAAAAAAGTTAAACAGACGCATTTTTTATGAATATAGCCTCTTAAATTAACAAAAACAAATGTCCTGTTAACATTTCACATGAAACTTAGGTATACAATACCTATTTGGCCTTATATCTGGTTGTTTAGGCTTGGGCCAAATTCCGTGCCGCTGAGTGTAGTTTGTTTGAAACACCTGATGTTCGGGATTTTATTGCCATTAAAAATTACAGTAGCAGTATTTTTGTTACTGAATGAGGGATCAAAAGGAAGTCGAAGCGCTATATTTTGAAATAAGAAAGCAAGAAAAATGCTAACATAAACCAAAAATGGTTTAAATCAATCATAATGTTTTAGTTTCAGTAGGCAATGAACAAATAAATTGCAATTTTAAACTGTAAATGCAACAAAGTGCATTGCTTGGAGAATCCTCAAAACTGTTTAATAAAATTCCAGAAGTTGCTTCTTAGCTAGTTATGCTTTTGCGTAATATGCAAATCTGCTTAATGGAAAGTTAAAAATTGATGAGACTAGACTTATGATATGATTCATCAGATCGTTTTATAACCTCAGCATGAATTTGTCTATCTTAGAAATAAACAATGATCTACTAGCCGAGGTTTGTTTACAAATATCTGAATATCTGCGCTGTTGAATAGGCGTATTGATTAGAATCGTGTGATAGCGCACGATAAATGCAGTCTCAAAATAGGTATAAAGTATCTATCTACCTTATCAAAACTTTCAACAATATGTACATCTTACGAGTATGTGCGCTCCGCAAAAAACATACAACTGAAATATAGGCAAATTACCTTACTGAAAACAACACTTCACTATGCAATGTTGTAGGTAGGTTAGGTACCTTCTACATACATTTATTTTGTTTATACATAAACGTCCTACGTGTACATACAATAAATGCGGTACTGAATACTCGTTTGCGGTTAGATTTGCATCGATGTCGCAAGAGCGATGCAGCGAGCTTGGACCTATTGTGCGCTGTATTGTAAAGATATACCTAACATACCATAGTATGATAGTACCCACTCCCATTCTAAATTGACGAACTCTACGAACGTAGGAGATACGTATTAGGCAGATTAGTTTCACTGTCATACACAGAGTAAATTGGGTAGGGTCCACATACATAACTTCATCTTGTCAAGATGTTGAGGGTAGATAAGCTTAAGCATGTATTGTCATCACTTGGGTCGTCTTGAGCTTATCAGATTACCAAAATCTTGGTTCAATAATGTTCTACAAGTCAATGAACCTTGACAAATTAAACCAGGGAAGCAAGCCACCATTACAATGCGTTGTCTAAGCGTAGATTACATAATCAAGCCTAAGTTAATCACTTGACAGAATAAAGCTACAGCCCTTAACATAAGAGTCAAATATGCAATCTATCACATACTTACTGCCTAATATATTCGCCCTGCTTCTACTTAAGGAAACCTTTTCGTTTTCCAGAAAACACGTCATCGAAGTTGCTAATGTTCTTGTACTAAAATTTAAACATACCAGTACCCCATGCCAAGAGTCATGAGTGGTGGTTCCGGGCTATGGATAAGGGAATGATCCAGTCTTCCCCTATGCGCAACCCGGGGACGCGTCCAATGGCAGACCCAAAACTGCATATGGATTGCACATTCGACCTTTTTTTCCAGGGAAAACATACATGAAATTGGGCTATGTGGGGCTCCCCTTAAGGATGAGGCATACCTACAAAAGTAACCCCGGTATACTCCGTCGATCGCCTTAGTGGGAACTATGGGAATCCGGACAGCCTTCAACTACCACAGTCCCTCTGGATTACAATTCGACCTGCTCTAACTTTACCTTCTCCGTTCCAGAAAACTCGTCGCCCAGTTCAGTCGCGAGGAGACCTCCCTACTAGTCCTCCGCGTGATGGTGGGCCTGATCATCCTGTACGACTGGGTGCACCCGTCGGGCGCCTTCTGCCGCTCATCTTCAGTTGATGTGAAGGGCTGCGTGAAATTCCTGCAGCAACAAACGCCGGCCAAGGCAGAGCCGTTGCTGAATGCTCTTAGGTAAAAATTAGCTTTGTTTTCTAATCATCATTTTAGTCACAGGATGACAGGACGTCCACTGCTAAACATAGGTCTCCTCCAACCATTTCTGCATCCAGCGCCTTACTGCTAATGCTAGTATTAATAGAGAGTTTAAGAAATAAGAGAGAATACAGGTCCGAAGTAGCAGTTGTAGTTTTGGTATCGATCTAAGCCGTGAAAATCGACGTGATGTAAGCCATTGCTATGAAGCAATGGGTATCGAACGCAGATACAAATAATACTACGTGATACTGTTATGTATGTACTTTGCTCCGACATTTGTTGTATTCTGATGCAGTGTATAATCACTCTTGTAAAAAAACTATACTTATATGTAGAAAAGTGTCGAGTCGAGAAAATCTCGAAGTTATCAGATGATTTTACTAAAATTATCTGGTATCTAATCTAGACCCTAATAGATCGAAGGTACTTTGAAAACCCCAAAGCTTTGTTTCATAATTCAGTTATTTATGTCTTCGTTTCAGGTACACCACAAAACACCTGAACCACCAGTCGACACCGAAGAACATACGGACGCTCCTCGCAGCGTGAGGGCAGCACTCAAGCCTTGCATGCTGCTGTGGGGAATGATTCGACAATAATCATCGTGGGGACTTCTCAGGGCTCGTACGCACACGCTTGTTCGATGCAAAGCTTTAAGGCTGGGTTGCACCACCTAACTTTAACGATAACCGGTATTTTGTATGGAGTTTGACAGATTTTTGACGTTTGTTAAAGTCAAAGTAAGATGGTGCAACCCAACCTAAGGGTTTTAGAATCACATTGACGTACGCTGACTGTCGGCGCTGGCACAGGACTATTCCTCTCGTTCCTACCGCTTCAACTCCTGTGTAGCCAGAATCTACAGCTTGACCGCCAATAAAAACTCAACCAGTGAAGGTCAAGTTTATCCCGGGGGAAAAATTTAAAGTTATTAGTTAAAAGTCGTTTCTTTTAATAACATAATCCGTGAGCACTGACGATCAGCTAGCGGTTAGCGCGATTCTATAACCCTCCTAAGAAACATTCATAAAACCATTGCAATGAACAAGCAAGCTCAATATAGAAAACAGTAGAATCCATTTTATTAATTTAGCACAACATCCTTAATTTTTAACTTTAATATTATGAAAAACGATTGGCTGATTTACATGCTTACGTACTCGATTTTAAAATCCAATGTATCACAAAAAGTCTATTTTGTATACATTTGCAATGAAAACTAATAAATAAGAATAGTTAATTGAAACGTAAAACTTAATATTTTTCAAAGTTATTAGTCATTGATTTGAAGCTTTACTTTGTAGTTTTAAGGATGTAGGGGTATGTGTGTAGGCACACTTGTATTGCAAATGCATGCTTATGAAGCAGAATAATAGGAATTGTTGAGAAACTACCCCCTATCCACCCCCACCACAGGTGCAAGGTTATACTGTAGGTTTGTATGTCACAACAGATTTTATTGCAATCAGATGAAGTCTGTAAGTTAGCTTTTATAATCCTTAAAATCATAAGATGCTTACATTAGACACCCGTAATGTAATTAAGAAAGAAGTATTATTAAAATAATATTACATACCTATTAATAATAATTCTTAAAATGCCTTGAAACTAATCTAAGTGTAACTCAAATTGATTAAACGTAATAATTTGTGCAATATAGGTATTCTTTCGTAATATACCTACCGAATTAAAAATATTTAAATCTTCCAAATATCGGTAATAATTCAAAATCATCTGTAAATGATTATTATCCTCCATGATGATCATATTTAATTAGCCATTTATCAAAAATCATACAATATGTCGTTACATTTTGTAAAGACTGAAAAAGTTAAAATTAGCACAAGCTCTTAAGCATAATTATATTATTTCAATGTTTTTCAAATTTAAAACTGCAGAGTATATCAAGAAAAAATTATCATGAATCATGATTGAATTCATAATTTGAATTTACACATAACATTTACATTTTATTATGTGCAGACGCAGCGGCGTTTAACATAGGTTAAAAAATGTTCAATATACATGATGTTAAAGTTAAATTTACGCATATACCACTGCCTTGATGTTAACTATCTGTAATTAATAAATAAATTTTATGATGCGTTTCTATATTGACAATTATGTATAAATTGAATTTACGATAAGCAACATGCATGTTTACAAGTCATATAACTATTATTATTATTACTGTAGGATAAAGAAGATAATTGTGAACTATATGTAGCCAAGGTCAATGTGAAATACTCACCAAGGTAATTTTCCTGTATTTTGTTCATTATTGTCTTTATTAAACTCTGTAATAATTTTATTGAACGCTCAAAAACAGTTTGAATATGTTAAAAGATATAATTATTGTAATTTATCTTCAACGTTAGCAGATTTTACTAATTTTATATCCATGTTCATTACCACTCATATTTAACTAATGTTAAAAGTTAGTAAACTTACGTAGGTAGTTTCCATTTGTTGAAATATTAAGAATAATTAAAAGTATATAATTTAGTTTATTTGACGGAGGCTAGATACATTTTATTATACTCAAAATGTAGCATTATAACATCCCAACTAATATTATAAATGCGAAAGTAACTCTGTCTGTCTGTCTGTCTGTTACGCTTTCCCGCTTAAACCTCGCAACCGATTTTGATGAAATTTGGCATAGAGATAGTTTGAGTCCCGGGAAAGAACATAGGATAGTTTTTATCCCGGTTTTTGAAACAGGGACGCGCGCGATAAAGTTTTTTTGTGACAGACAAAATTCCACGCGGGCGAAGCCGCGGGCGGAAAGCTAGTGAGTTTATAATTGTTAACCATTGTCACTCTAGCACAAACATCTTTTTGTAAGTATAGAATATAAGTACCTACTTGCACAGTCAGCACAATACAATACTTATAATAAACTTTGTTGATAAATATTAGGTATGTCGACTTGTTAACTATGTAAAGGAAGATGAAATAACTCTCCGAATTGCATTTAGGTACATGTCTTTAAGCAATGTGTGCTGTGCGCATACAAGGAATTGATAAATTGAATTGAAATAATATCAGTTCCAAAATGACACTGCCCAAAGCATAATTTTTAAATTACTTATATTTTTTTATAATATCAATAAGTTTTTGTAGTACCTATTATTCCATTTGATAATAATTCCAAAATTGCAACACTCCATGGCGAGTATAAACATAGTTCAAGACGTTTCGTAGCTTTTAGTGAGTGTAATAAAAACGAAGCTTATGAAAATGATTGTAGAATGATTCACAAAAAGTAATATCATAATTATGTAGGAGTCATATACTCTTTTGAGTGTTAGCACATAACTATGTAAGCTTCCTTTTACAAGTGGTTATTTTGTTATGATCTTAGCCAAATATTGTAGCGAAATTTAGTAGCAAGAGCTAAATGCAGTTTGTAGTTAACAAGATTGTTGTTCCTCATCCAATTTGTGGCACATTTCTGTTGATAAATTAACTGTAAGGTGGTTTGTATGATAGACCTATTTTTTAGTTATCTTTTATTTATTGTATATAATAAACACACCAAAGTTATGATTAATAAACTTTAATAGACTTGTAATACTTTTGTTTTATTTTTACCTTCTAGTGTTAACTATATTTTGATGAAAACTTAAATGATACTTAAAAGCTTAAATAATACCCTGTAAATTCAGTACTTACTATTTATTTATTCTTAAATAATATTCACAAAATAACAAATCAATAACCACTATAACAACTCCTCAATTGTTGGCTGGTCTTGGCTTCAAAATGAGTTTTCCAGTTTCATCGCATGACATATTGAAGTCGTTCAGTACAGACCGAGTCCTAGCTGTGATTATGCTTGGTGCTATCACTTTTCTATGCACACCCATCATAAATAATAATACTGAAAACAAAAAACACATTTTATAATTTAAAAATGAGGTATGCTAGTGGAATACATTATTAATTATTCCTGTACTAGTAAAACAAGATAACAATCAATTATTATTGTTATCACAGTCTCATGAAACTGTTAGGCTCTCTTAGTTTCTTTTTTTATTAGAAATTAAATATTTGAACTATAATCTAAATACATTATTGTAATGGTTTACATACCAAGTAGAGTAGAAGTGAATGCAAAGAATGGATGGTTCCACAGGGACTGTGTGAGAGAGACAACAGGCGTCAGAGGATCAGATAGCCAGTGCCACGCTGCCATTGCAGTACATACTGACACCACAGCTAGTAGAACTGGAAAATTAAATATTAACAGCTTAATTCACATGTTATAATGTTTAAGGTTCATTTCAGTGACTTCTCAGAGGCATTACAAGTAATTTTACAAGAAATTGTTGTGCTCAGTAGTGCTCTCCCTGTTTGGGTGTCCACGGAAGACCAGCGTCGTGGCATTATCTACTGAGATGCTATGACACCATGCTGAGTGGATACCTTTTCAGTATCATTGTAATTACCTTCTCATTAAATAATGTTAAGTATTGCAAGTGTATTGTCGATGATACTGAATAAACATTTTTTCTTTCTTACTTTCTTTCTTTCTTAATTTCACTTGAGCTTCTAGGCATATAAATAAATAAATAAATAATAATAAACAATTTATTTCATAACAATGGGTACATAACAATGTTAGTGACCGTAGCTCCCTTTTAAGCTAATGAGCCTGTATCAGGGAGCAAACGCTCTTCCATTAATTTATTCATACTATAGTAGAGGATGTACAGTTATAAAATAATATTATTCTGAACATATTAACTTGTTTTTTTTAAAGTTTTTTTAAGTTTAATTTTAAAGTTACACTATAAGAATCATAAGCAGTTACTCTAATATAAAAATGTAAAAATATTGAAGTATACTTACTTCTCCATCTCATAGTTGCTGGTTGGAGACATCCTATTACTTCTGTAAGGCGGCGCTCAAATGCCTTCAAATCTAAAAAAGAGTATCATTTGAAAATACATTTTTACCCCAAATTATTATGTACCTATAGAAATCCTTATGTTAATAAAGTATAATAGGAGGTAGTATTATTGTATAAGATAGTCAAATGTATGCTTTTCAATGAGATTTATCTTACCATCACAGGCAGTTTGTTCTAGAGACATTATAGGTTGTTTGACTAGCGTTATTGATATCTACGATGAACCAAGCAAATTATCGCACTGCGGGTTTTATGATTTTGAAGATTTTGCAAGTATTCATTACACAATTCATCAAAAAATAGACTTTTTAAAACTGCAAAACACTTTGAAACACCGATTATTTGACAACTGAAGTGACAATGACAACTGTCTGAACTGACAGAAATGACAGTCTTGAAGGGATGTATCGATCCGATTCTAAACGATTCTTTTAAACGATTAAGATCCAGTATAGTATGCATCAAAGATGCATATGCATTATTGCACTTATCCATTTATGGAAACTAGGTATCCTTTCCCATCCAAAATTCAAATCTACCATAGCTGCTACTCCTTTACAGGAAATTAAATTCAACACCCAATTAATTTAAGAGTAGTTAAAGATTTATTTATAAGAAGCATCATTTCTAATGCTATTAATTTATTCATCATTGGATCGCGCATGTTACAACGCCGTGCTAGAAACGCGGCGTTTGTAACTATGCTTTCTTTTTTCGGGCCTTGTTTTGAGCGTAGTTTCAATTAAATACAATGTATGGAAATGTATGTAATCCAAAGTTTATAATAATATTATCAACCCAACAACAATAGTCTATTGTAGTTTGAAGCAATTAATTTAACTTTTATAGTAGGTACCTACTAAGTCAAAGTTATCTAATAGTGTGAGGTCGTTCGTTATCAATTTTTGTCAACTTGCCGCAAGTCTTGCCTTGAAAGTATAATAAAATGCAGTACGTATTTACCTAATTTGATAATATTTTATCACAGTTCTTATCATTGATATATCTATCATTAATTTCATCGTAGCTTTCCTTAGTAGCTAGCCCGGGTTCAAAGATTATGTTCATGTCCGTAATCGTTGCTGACATACGATTCATAGTGACTAAACAAACAATGACTACTACATAGTGCTACTGACACAAAAAGTGTACTTACATACGAAGTGACGTTAACTGAAGTTGCTGCAGCATCATCAGTAAGTTTTTATTATTTTCAGTCAAATCCAAATTTTTGTTATTGAGAAATTAAAAAGTGACAAGGTACTTACTCTAGAACAAGATTAAGTAACATCAAGAAAATACTGCCAAAATTACTTTAAAGTCCACCTACATACTTGTATTTTTTTACCAGTTATTCAGATGCCCCAAATTTTTTACATAAACTGATGGAACTTAAGATGGAGAACAGTTAAAGAAAAACCTGTTTTCTGTACCCATAACATGTGCAGAACTTTCAACAACCCAATTATTATTTTTTTCAGTGCTTCCCTTGAGATTTTTTCGCGCATCCAGGCGTATAGTGCCGGCTGCAAGAAGTCTGTCATCCGATGTACCGTCGCTAGATTTATCTGTGGACAGCGAAGGCATTGCTACGCTGACCATGCAGCGATTACCAGTAAACAGTCTCAATCTTGAAGTTCTACAAGAATTTGATAAGGCCCTTGATGAGGTAGAAAAGATTAAGGCGAAAGGATTGATTATTACTTCTGTAAGTATTCAAAAAAGAGAATCAGATGATTGATTACTACGATTCAAGCCTGCTAGGTAATGAAGATGCATCTAGTTAATGTTTAAACTATTATGATTTCAGGCTTCGTCTACTGTATTCTCTGCTGGTCTAGACATCAGAGAAATGTATAAACCGGAAACGGAAAGAATGGCGACATTTGCGTCTACTTTGCAAAATCTTTGGTTGAAACTCTACGGTTCGCCCTACCCTACAGCTGCTGCTATCACTGTACGGAATAAATTATTATGTGCCTTAATAAAACACAGCGTTCTGTTGAGAGAGCTGTCTATGATCTTTGCCTGATTTTAGTCTATGGTATAAGAAAACTTACCAATTGTCTCTGCTTTATCATCTAGTTTACCTTCTTTATACACCAGCTGGCACCACTTTCTATGGAAATTGGTGATCTGTCNCATTCGCTAAAACTCATTTTTTTTAGCAAATAATAAATCAAATTCAAGTTTAAATGCACTTTATGACATAATTTTTAAATTGTCACTATTAATATTTTTTACTGAATAACCTGTAAAAGTTAATTCTACAATTTCTGAAAAAGCACCTAAAAGTAACCTTTTCATTAGTGTAACCTAAAAGTAACCACTGCAGTTCAAAAGTAACCTAAAAGGTTACAAAAGTAACCTTCTGGCAACACTGATGTTTAGTGAACTCTGGTGTTGCCAGACACATGAATAATGTTAGTTCCTCAAACATTCATGTCACGACTTTATAGACAGACTGTACGCATCGTTTTAATAACGGTTTTGCTCTGTCATCGAAGGTAAATTATATCTTTACAATCATACTTATTGCTACCCGCGAAATAAGCAGCATCTCTGGTAGGGTACAGTGCCGTAACTAGCCTTTTATGCTCCCGGTGCGAGAAAGAATATAGACAGAAATTGTCTCATAGTTACGGTATAGGTACTTTTGTTTCACGCAAAAACTACTGAATGGATTTTAATGAAACTTTACAATAATATAGCTTATACATCAGAATAACACATAGGCTACAATTTATAAACATATTGTTCGAAATACTAATCCTGCGCAGACGAAGTCGCGGGCACCAGCTAGTACTAAATGTATGAAACCGATACCGTTCTGACGCGTCACGTCACGACACATCAGACAAATATAAAACCACCTTTACAAGTGTTGTTGTTTCAAGATCGCTTGAAAAATGCCATATAGATATAGATAGTACAGAGGGCGCGTCTACACCATATTCGCAATAAAACAAAATGTACCTACTAACTACCATGCATGAAACAAAACTAGATACTGGTCTGGTCATTTCTGCGCCCCTCCAGGGTCTGCGCCCTGTGCCTGGGCACCGCTGGCACCGCCATAGTTACGGCACTGGTAGGGTAGATGACGAAGGAGCATAATGTATGTTTGAATGCATTGAAAATACATTCAATGAGTCTTATGCACTTAAATAGATCCACTTACCTATGTACTTCCACGAGTACAGATACATGCTAATGTTCATTACATTAACATATGGCCACCGCAAGATCCGAACCCACAACCACATTACAGCTGTAACGAAAACTACTTACCTATTCCAAAAAAAATATATACGTCTGCTTATTTTAAACCTCAGTTTTAAACATGGCATAGCATCAGAAAATAATATTTACCGACATAAACATTCAATAATACCTATCTATGTCAATTAAACATTTATCTACGACCGACTTCTACCTAATAATAACGTAAAAACACAAATAGCGGATCACAAATCGATGTGGCTCGCCTGAATATTGTATGGTGAGCTTCGTGAATGGACTGCTACCTAGGTAAATTTTAAATTTTAAATTCGTATAGTAGAGCTAGCTCTACTATACGAATTTAAAACGCTACTCAAAAGTATGCATCTACTTAAGTACATATTTATTCAAAGTTTTGCGATTCATATTTGATAAATATCAGAGTATAAATTGTATTTCCTAAGTACTGTATAAGTACTGTAGTTAGGTACGCCTGTGCACAACAAACAACACTTCACGACAAAATATCGACGTTTATTCCTACACTACGTGACCAACGCGACACATTTATAGTTTCATTCCAAGTGTAAAAGTTTGAAACTAGGTTATTGCACATATAATTTTATCTGACACTAGATGTTAAACTCATATCTCCTAATCGTTTTAATCACCTCGCATTAGTAAAAACTTATCGTTCACACCAGCCTCAAATCCTGAGCCAAACAACGCGAAACAGCAATAAAACAACTGTATAGTATCCCTCATTAGTGTAAAGGAGACGGGAGATCTCTGAATATAGCCGGGCTTAATTTCTTGGCGTGCAGCGACGGACTAATTAGTGTGTTAGACACAACATTAGAGCGACAGAGAAATATAGAAAGTCAAGAGTGCAACTGAGACGGCGAGAGCCGGTGGCACACGTCCAAGATGAATTTGATGTTCCGGAAGAACTTCAGCGGAGAGAAGAGCATGGGCACTAGCGGGGGTGGAGGGAAGGCGAGGGGGGCGCTGGGTGCAGGGAGGAATGCCAAGCGGCGCGATCGCGAGCGGTACTCCTTCATGGAGGAAAACCACTACAAGACGCTGAAGACCCATCTGTTCCTCTCGGCGGCGCCCCGCTCCAGCGCGCAGTACAACGACGGCTCAGGTAACCCGTGACCAGACCACACAGTGACAGCCAGTGACGTGCCACTCACAACAGTTATTGTTTGTTTGCGAACTTCCGCTTCAAGTTTTGAACTGTTCGAATTCGCGGCAATAAAATAAGTGCGCCAGACGCGGTGTATTTTTGACGGACATGTTTCCCATCAGACGTGCTTGCTCATTAGTTACCAGCTGATGCGGAGCCGTCGAGCTATTAATACAAGCGTGAGACTGACGCCTTGTTTGTGCGTAAGCGGCCGGCCGTGAAAAGGTAACAGATTTATGTAAATACATGAACACGCAATGTTATCCATAGCTGGCTGAAACTGCCGAAAGCCGGTTTGAACGAGTTGATGGATTTGGCTCCATACGCAAGTCTCGAACGTCTATTTCAGTAATGCGGTATCAAACTACAACAAGAATGTATGCACAACAGCAATAGGTACTTTTAAACGCAAATACTCGTATTATTGTCAAGCGCATTTATTTTGATCGTAGTTCAAATTTTTTGTTAATTGTATCGATTTTCCTATTAAGCCCGAGTATCAGTCATATTACAGCAAAAACTTTCTTGTCTCTACATCAGTGCTAACTGTAGCTTTCTCGCACAACAGGTGAGACAGGAGTATCAATGCAATTGAGCCCATGCGAAGTGCCTACAACTAGCATTTTTAAACGGAAAAACAGGATTGCCCCCTAGACAAGTTGCACTTCTTGAATCGAAAATCGAATCCGACAAAACTCCATACAAAAAAAAGACCTTTCGACCACTTTTCAACTGGTTTGCGATTATAATGTGCACTTTGTTAGATCCACTGGAGAACCAATTGTTAAAAAACCTTCTATCTGCTTCCAGAACGATGCGGCCCCGTTCTCGGCGGAGGGACCGGCCCCGAGCCGGAGCCGCCGCAGCCGCTGGTCACGCGGGAGCCGTCGGTGTCGCTCATGCGCTGGGACCGGCCCGCCACCGCAGCCACCTCCGACCGCCGGCGCACCGAGCCCGTCTCGCTAGCGACCCTCGAGCGCGACTGCTTCGTGATACCAGCGCACGCGCTCGAACGCTTCCTGCCTGATGGCGTACCGGTAAGCTTCGTTTGACCAGGAATAATAGAAAGGCCCGTGATCCAAAAGGATAACAAAGCATTGAAAACCACCTCCGCTTCCTGCCTGATGGCGTACCGGTAAGTCTAGTCTTCAAACTAGAACCAAAGGCAGCCTTAGATGGATGGCTGCGCAGCAATGTTGAGGCTTGCTTTATGGTTAAAGATGGATCACGGGCCTTTCTTGTCCTGGTGGACAAGAAAGGCCCGTGATCCAAAAGGATAAAGCATTGAAAACCACCTTCGACCGCCGGCGCACTAAGCGTCTGGCTTATAGCGACGCTTGAGCGCGACTGCTTCGTGATACCAGCGCACGCGCTCGAACGCTTCCTGCCTGATGGCGTACCGGTAAGTTTTGTCTTCGAACTTAGCTAGAGCCAAAGGCAAAACTAGATGCGCAGTCATGTTGAGGCTTGCTGTAACCAACCAGGACTAGAAAGGCCCGTGATTCAAAAGGATAAAGCATTGAAAACCACCTCCGACCGCCGGTGCACCGAGCCCGTCTCGCTAGCGACGCTCGAGTGCGACTGCTTCGTGATACCAGCGCACGCGGCCGAACGCTTCTTGCCTGATGGCGTAGTACCGGTAAGTCCTAGCTTCCCTAGCTTCGAATATAAACTAGATCTAAAGGCAAAGCCGTAGATGCGCAACCATGATGAGGCTTTCTGTAACCGGGACTAGAAAGGCCCGTAATCTAAAAGGATAAAAAAGCATTGAAAACCACCTCCGACCGCCGGCGCACCGAGCCCGTCTCGCTAACGACGCTCGAGCGCGACTGCTTCGTGATACCAGCGCACGCGCTCGAACGCTTCTTGCCTGATGGCGTAGTACCGGTAAGTCCTAGCTTCCCTAGCTTCGAATATAAACTAGATCTAAAGGCAAAGCTAGATGCGTAGCCATGTTGAGGCTTGCTGTAACCAGGACAAGAAAGGCCCGTGATCCAAAAGGATAAAAAAGCATTGAAAAACACCTTCGACCGCCGGCGCACCGAGCCCGTCTCGCTAGCGACCCTCGAACGCGACTGCTTCGTGACACCAGCGCACGCGCTCGAACGCTTCCTGCCTGATGGCGTACCGGTAAGTCTTGTCTTCTTAGCTCGATCCAAAGGCAAAGCCGTAGATTCGCAGCCACGTTGAGGCTTCCTTTAACGAGGACTAGAAAGGCCAGTGATCCAAAAGGATAAAAAGCATTGAAAACCACTTCCGACCGCCGGCGCACCGAGCCCGTCTCGCTAGCGACGCTCGAACGCGACTGCTTCGTGATACAAGCCACGCGCTAGAACGCTTCCCGCCTGATGGCGTACCGGTAAGTCTTGTCTTCTTAGCTAGATCCAAAGGCAAAGGCGTAGATGCGCAGCTATGAAGAGGCTTGCTGTAACCAGGACTAGAAAGACCCGTAATCCAAAAGGATAACAAAGCATTGCTTCGCCGCCGGCGCACCGAGCCGGTCTCGCCAGCGACGCTCGAGCGCGACTGCTTCGTGATACAAGCCACGCGCTAGAACGCTTCCCGCCTGATGGCGTACCGGTAAGTCTTGTCTTCTTAGCTAGATCCAAAGGCAAAGGCGTAGATGCGCAGCTATGAAGAGGCTTGCTGTAACCAGGACTAGAAAGACCCGTAATCCAAAAGGATAACAAAGCATTGCTTCGACCGCCGGCGCACCGATCCAGTCTCGCTAGCGACCCTCGAGCGCGACTGCTTCGTGATACCAGCGCACGCGCTCGAACGCTTCCTGCCTGAAGGCGTACCGGTAAGTCTTGTCGTCGAACTTAAACTAGATCTAAAGGCAAAGCCGTAGATGCGTAGCCATGTTGAGGCTTGCTGTAACCAACCAGGACTAGAAAAGCCCGTAATCCAAAAGGATAACAAAGCATTGCTTCGACCGCCGGCGCACCGATCCAGTCTCGCTAGCGACCCTCGAGCGCGACTGCTTCGTGATACCAGCGCACGCGCTCGAATGCTTCCTGCCTGATAGCGTACCGGTATGTGTTGTCTTCGAACTTAAACTAGATCTAAAGGCAAAACTAGATGCCCAGCCATTGTGAGGCTTCGTTTGACCATAATAATAGAAAGGCCAGAGATCTAAAAGGGTAAAAAAAGCAATGAAAACATGGCGACCCACATTTTGTACTCTTGATGATTTGGTTAATGTAGGTAGTTAAACAAAGGCAGACAACGGTACCCTATTAACATAATTTTTATTTCAATTCCAGCTCCCAGTGCCACCCCCAACTCCCGAAAAAGGAGGACTAACGAAGACTGTTCCAAGTTCCCTCAGCATACTCGAGATAGCTGACCCCAAGCTTTGTATATTGGCTCACCTGATGAGCCCTTTAGAGCCCATAGAGCCTATACTGGAGTCTCCTCTGGCCAAGCCTCTGATACGGCAGAAGACGGCCGCAGGAGAGCTCCTGAGTGACGTGGCTCAGGCGAACACGGCGGTGGGCGGGATGCTTCTAGCGAACATGGAAAAGAACGCGGAGTTTCCATTCATATCTTACTATGTGATAAATACGACACAAACAGATCCTTTGCTTTTCTACAACAACATGAGGAGTGCGTCTCTGAACAAGTTTGACCCGAAGACGATCAGGTACTCGGCTGCGCACACGCTGGATCTCTACAGCGAGGTGGCGATGATATGCCGGCCGCCTTTCAACGACCTCGCCGGGGGACCCAAGAAGTCGCATACCCCTACTACTGGCTTCATTATTAGCGTTTATAAGGTGAGCGAGCACATTTCGATGATGACGGAATAATTTATGACACGGTGTAACTTTATGTATGTAACTTTATCAGGAAGTAACAGTACACCACCTTTAGTTCAAAGTTTGTCTTAGAGTAGGCGCACACCGTTGATTTTTAGTTGGCCGATAGTTGTGCCCGATTTTAAACAGTATGAAAAATCGGCCAAATCGAATCGGCGTAGTGTGCGCACTCCCATACATGCCCATACTGATCAACTGCCCGACTAAACTATCGGCCGACGAAAAATAAACGGTGTGCGCCTACTCTTAATCTCTCTACTTTCCACGAACTTATGACTAATGTTACAGGTATCTACCTACTACTAGTAACTACAACTACTTACAAATAAACTTTCTGCATATTTCTGACAGACACTAACCTCGTTCCAGGTCTTCGAAGGCGACGACGGCGAGCGTTTCGAGAGAAACTGGCTGTACTGGACCGGCGCTCGAATGTTGTACCGGCATCTACCCCACTCTGTGGGCATGAGGAAGATAGCATTGCACAAATCCGTAGCCTCTCATGGCGACAAGATGTACTTGTTGGTGTGTGAGTGCGCCAATTTGCTGGACGACTTGTCAGGCGCCTCCATGTTGGTGACGGCTCTCCGCGCGCGGTTGTGTGGGTATACCGGGCTATACCGGCCTATACAGACGTTCTAGTAGAGGGATGGCCTGAAGGCCTGTAGGTATGTCCGAGGGCACTTGAGGATCAAGTTTTGTAAGTTTTGAGATTAATTGTACCGTCAATCAAGTTTTGCGCGTTTTAATTGTACCGACATTATGCCAACCAGTGCTGTAGTTAATTTTAAACTTTTGCGTTGCACAATTTAATTAAATTAAACAGGTTTTAACGTGATACGCGGATAGGTAATATTGAAATATTACCTGTGTTTGCCTGACGTTTCGACCGCGTTGCACGGACTTGCACGGGCCGCGGTCACAGGCTGACTGGAGCGTCGAGTGCGCGATCCGTATGGTGGGTAGAATCATCTAATTCTACCCCCTTAATATTGCCCAAGTTAAAACGTTGGTCACAATGTGATGTAAAGAGATAAAAGTGTTTTACTTTTAAGACTTATCGTTTTCAGGATTAAAGTTAATAAAAATAATATTCTTTATCTAAGCAAAAATTTGGTATCATGTCCGAAAACTACGACGTACGACCTTTAAAAGCAATTTTCAGCAGAACTCGTTAATTTACAATAATTTATTATGCTTTGATGAAATAATCTTACGTGCCTAACAACTTTCAAATCCTAAGCGATAAAATTAGTAAGTACAGTCACTGAAAAATGTTTTAGCCATTTTTCATTTAACTACGCGGGCTTAGTTAAAATTCGATTACGTGACCATATTCAAGGCCTTTACGCAAAATATAATTATGTAAAAGATCCTCAAGTGTACCAGCAGGTCTCAATTCAAAATTGTTCATAGAGCACAAGTTGTGAACAAAATGGACCAAAATAATATATTTAATGGTAAGAAAGCTGAAAAATGTATGATTGGTAACAAACGAATGATTCGAGCCGACGTGTTCCACTCCTATAGGAGATAACTTAGAGTAAGATTTACAATCTTTAATAAATTCAGATTTTAATTACTTAAGTAAGTGAACGCAATAATGATGCTTTTCTTTCGTCTTAAAATTTTCGTCTGTAATGAATCGAATTCCACTCGATGCTTTTTGAGACTTGGCTATAAATTTTGACAATCAATAACTTAGAATCTCATAATATGTTAGGATTACTGTTTTTCATGCACACTTTTCCTTTAGAGTTTAAATGCGGACTACAATTTGCCTAGTGGCTAAGTCACCGGCGAATTTGACTGCGTAGGTACATCTATATCTAAAGGTACCTATAAGCTCACATTAATATGTGGCGTGTACTGTGTGCAGTACATTTGTAGGGATACTGGTCCAGAAAACCTGGATATTCTCGATTTGTCACACGTTTTTGAGTTCCATTCATACTACCTACGTGTTATTCGACACAAGTACTTAACTAACAAATATGTAAAAAAAATACGCATTTACATGTACTTTTTTGTTTTGTGACGAATTTTCGACTCGACTTTTGGCAAATCGACGATACACCCACGCCACTTAGCAATGTGTCTTTACCTAAAATCGTGCACGCTTATATTTAGACTTTTCCCGACATATTTTCCTTTCGATTGTCTCACTGCCAAGTTCAGAATGAAGAATTGACAATAATTATTTATTTGTCTTTTGATGTGTAAGTGCGGTTTAAGTATCTTAAGTTGTTTTAAAATACATTGTAAAGAGTCGGTTTATGCTAAAACAGAACCTTATTACAATGAGTCATCACTCTTAAAAATCTTAATCCTTCCTTCTACATAGGAATAAAAAAATCTAGGCTTATTTGATTATTATTGTAATAAGGTTTTACTTACCAGAGGTAAAATACCTCTGCAGGTTTATTAAAGAAGCTATGTTACTGATATTTCTAAAGAAAGTATGTCGTAATATTGCTTGTCTTCCAAAAGAGAAGAGTACAACATACACGTTCTGTCATTATTTTCGATCCAGTTTTACTCGTAGTTCCTTACATATCTTGTGATACATATCATTCTATATATTTGTTTCATAAGAATATATTTTTGACATATACGCACCATTTCCTACTGTAACTTTAGTACAGTAGCATCGAATATTACTTAACAAATGTCTTGCTTTGTATTATTAGTTTGACGGACAAGAATATTCTAAATTATAATGTAATAAATATAAATACAGTGTGAGTCACGTTAAAGTGTACATATGAAAATAGATGAAACTAAACCCATTTTTATCGACAAAAAAGAGGTCTAAAATTTTTTGAGATTTTTTTTTAATTTTTTATAGAATTTTTTTTCTTCCAATTACTTATTGTAAAGAAAACGTAATAACTTTTAAACTAAGCGGTATATCCTGATAAAATAAAAACAGTAATAATGCAAAATAACAGGCGATACTAAAATAATACATAAAATACACAAAAAAGGCCAACAAATAATAAAAAATGATACTTTTTGAAAAAAATCTAAAACGTTCATAGCAAATGTTGTGATAGGGATAGATNTCCCGCGCTTTTTTTCCCAAAATTACTTTAAGTCTATAATACTTGTCCCAATTTTTTTTACATAAACTGATGGAACTTAAGATGTAAAAAATTTGACGAAAAAACCTGTTTTCTCTACCTATAACAATTGTGCAGAAACTTTCCACAATCCATTTTTTTTTTCAGTGCTTCCCTTGAGATTTTTTCGCACATCCAGGCTTATAGTGCCGGCTGCAAGATGTCTGTCATCCGATGTACCGTCGCTAGATTTATCTGTGGACAGCGAAGGCATTGCTACGCTGACCATGCAGCGGTTACCAGTAAATAGTCTCAATCTTGAAGTTCTACTAGAATTCGATAAGGCCCTTGATGAGGTAGAAATGATTAAGGCCAAAGGACTGATTACCTATTACTTCTGTAAGTATTCAAACAAGAGAATCAGACGATTGATTACTACGATTCAAACGTGCTAGGTAATGAAGATGGATCTAATTAATTCTTAAACTATTATGATTTCAGGCTTCGTCTACTGTATTCTCAGCTGGTCTAGACATCAGAGAAATGTATAAACCGGATATGGAAAGAATGGTGACATTTGCCTCTACTTTGCAAAATCTTTGGTTGAAACTCTACGGTTCACCCTACCCCACAGTTGCTGCTATTACTGTACGGAATAAATTATTATTTTAAGTTCAAATTCAATGTTTATTAGCTACATGTGTACCTAGAGAGGAACTTGCTATAGGACTTTTTATATGTGTCCTAAATAGCGCTACCACCATTTATTTATTTATTTATCTATTTACAACGACAACAACACTACACTGTCATCACAGGACATCCCACTGCGACAGCGAAGACAACACATCAACAAACACAACGTCAAATACACAACTAGAAACCACCTACATACAAACCACATAACATACTATAACAAATAATGATTTCGAGACAACTTAATCGGCTGGCGCTGAAAAATACCGTTGCCGCATTCCACTGCTACCTACTCTACGACTTACCTACTCTAAGAGTGATTTCTTCACTATAGATAAATACAAAATAAGTTTAGTTAATAAAAAAAATATTATGAGCTAATGATATAACTAATGATAATACCGCTTTTCCTCTAGGGTCACGCCCCAGCTGGCGGTTGTTTGATCGCAATGAGTTGTGAGTACAGGGCAATGGTGAATGGTAACTTCCGAATTGGATTGAACGAGACTGCGCTAGGCATAGTGGCGTCTAGCTTCTTTATAGACACCATGCGCAGTGTCATCTCACGGCGAGAGACTGAGCTGGCTCTGACCACAGGACGAATGTTCTTTGTCGATGAAGCTCTTAAGGTAAGCCTACCGGATTAGTAAACTGGGAGTCGCGGATGGAGTTATAAAACTAATATTGCCAGATTTGGCAAATTCAAACCACTAAACGCCAACGTACTTTAATGTTTTTATAAGTAAGACCGTGTTTGTTTAAAATAATTCCAAATATTGATTTCACAGGTCGGCTTGATCGATGAAACGACGACGGATAAAGCAGATGCTATAGAGAAATGTAAGAACTTCATCAAGAGATTCGACAAAATTCCTCCTTTAGCGCGTGGCCTTACGAAACAAAGAAAAAGAATTTATGAAATGGAGCATCTACAAAATAATTCAGCGGCTGAGAGAAATGAGTCGATACATTTCATTACTCAACCTGAAGTACAACATTCTGTAGGAACGTATTTAGAAAAACTAAAGCAAAAAGCTGCTAAATGATAATGCAGATCATGCATGCATGACGTATATGTGCCATAGTATAATATGTACGGTCTACTTAGTACATAGGTTTAAAAAGTGATGTTAAAATGGTTTCAAATGAATGTTTGTAAATATTTGTATTAATGCTCAACAAGCGAAAATTACAGCTCTTTTTGGATAAAATTTCGATTAAGTATTATAATTATCAGCGTTTCCATTGGGCGTTTTAATCGAAAAAAAAGAAACTCACTCTTGTATTCAAACATTACTTATAATTTATTTTTCTTTTAAATAACACGTACTATTGGTACTATCGGCAACAGTGATAACTGCCCATTGCCAGTCATGTTATCTCGTTCTATCGCAAAGAATCATCATTTGATGAGAGCGAGAGCAAAAACGGAAATGGATAGTTAACAGTGTGGCCGTGTGTACCTACCTACGATACGGATACAATACGATTAACCGTGTACGCCCGCCATGTAAAGCCTGACCAGAGGGTCTAGACAAAGTGCAATAATAATCGCAAACCAGTCGAAAAGTGGTCGAAAAGCCCCTTTTTTGTATGGAATTTGACGGATTCGATTTTCGATTCGATCAAAAAGTGCGTTTTGTCTAGGGGGGCTGGAACATAAAAACCCTGGCATAGAGGCGCGTCAATTGCATTTGATAGTGCAACNCAAGCCATTGTGGTAGAACTACCTTTGCGAAACCCGTATCTAAGTAGCTTATTTGCGGTAATAAAATTATATATACGCTTATAAATTACTTTTTCATATATTTTTGAAAATATTGGTATAAGTGTAATGGGTCTGTAATTTGTCATTTCATATTTTTTACCTTTCTTAAATAATGGCTTAACAATACATAATTTGAGTTTATCGGGAAAGTATCCTTGTTCCATAGATAAGTTGATCACATATGCTAGGGGTCGACTTAAATATTTAGCACACATTTTAATAACGCGGGTAGTTAAGTTAAGTTCAAATTCAATGTTTATTAGCTGCATGTGTAGATAGGAACTTGCTATAGGACTTTTTATGTGTCCTAAATAGCGCTACCACCATTTAGAGACAACGTAATCGACTGGCGCTGAAAAATGCCGTTGCCGCATTCCGCTACTGTACTCTGAGTGATTTCTTTACAATAGACAATAGTTAGGTATATACAAAATCAGTTTAGTTATTAAAAAAATATAAAATATTATGAGCTAATGAACACCACTTTTCCTCTAGGGTCATGCCCCAGCTGGCGGTTGTTTGATCGCAATGAGTTGTGAGTACAGGGCAATGGTGAATGGTAACTTCCGAATTGGATTGAACGAGACTGCGCTAGGCATAGTGGCGTCTAGCTTCTTTATAGACTCCATGCGCAGTGTCATCTCATGGCGAGAGACCGAGCTGGCTCTGACTACAGGACGAATGTTCTTTGTCGATGAGGCTCTTAAGGTAAGCCTACCGGATTACTAACTGGGGTCTGGGAGTCGCAGTTGGAGTTCCACCCAAAACTAATATTGCCAGATTTAGCAAATTCAAACCACTAAACGCCAATGTACTTTAATGTTTTTATAAGTAAGACCGTGTTTGCTTTATAAAATAATCCCAAATATTGATTTTACAGGTCGGCTTGATCGATGAAACGGCGACGGATAAGGCAGATGCTATAGAGAAATGTAGAAACTTCATCAAGAGATTCGACAAAATTCCTCTTTTAGCGCGTGGCCTTACGAAACAAAGAAAAAGAATTTATGAAATGGAGAATCTACAAAATAATTCAGCGGCTGAGAGAAATGAGTCGATACATTTCATTACTCAACCTGAAGTACAACATTCTGTAGGAGCGTATTTAGAAAAACTAAAGCAAAAAGCTGCAAAATAATAATGTAGATCATGCATGACGTAATGTACTATAGTATAATATAGGTAATACTTAGTACATAGATAGGTTTAAAAAGTGATGTTAAAATGGTTTCAAATGATGTTTGTGAATAACTGTATTTATTAATACTCAACAGGCGCTAATTAAAGCTCTTTTTTTAAATAAAATTTCTGTTTATTATAATTATCTGCGTTTCCATTGGGCGTTTTAATCGAAAAAAAACTCACTCGTATTCAAAAATTACTTTAAATTTTTTTCTCTACCCTTTTTTTTAAATAGCACGTAACATAATTGAAAGAAAGAAAGAAAGAAAAAACATTTATTTGGTACCAAAAAATTAAACAAAATTAATTAAAATTGATGCGTTGTACATAGTCGTTTTGATATTTTAATTTTATATAGTTTGTTTGTATCGCGAGTCGCGACGTTGTTGTTAAAGCTCCGACGTACTAGAATTTTTCTATCGTAAAAATTTGAAATGTATCGTAGTGATGTAATCACAGAATGTAATCGTACTGATTTTTTACTCTGTGGACTGCTGCAAAACTTTTTGACATTGACAGATAGAAACAACAACTTTGCCAAGTTTACGAACGCAAGTTTCGAGACGAGTCCAAGGTTCAAACGTGAATTTTATTTAACTGTGAAGTTTTGCTGAAATTATTAGTAAGTACTATTACATACTCAGGTATCACACGTTTTATGACTATGAATTTCTGCGTTGCGGAGTCATGAAATAAATTATAAACTCTATGTAAAGTTTATAATCACCTAGTTATTTTTACTTGTTGATACCACTTTTTAAAACAAAAAATAATATAAATAGCGAGCACTAACTTGAATTCTTTAACCGTGACTTTCAAAATCTCTGAACTGATAACATAGTTTTCTACCTACATTGTGCTTTACAATTACTGCTAGCAAAAGTAAGTACTTAGTGTTGTAAATAAAAAAACTTAATTAGTGTGACCCAATATATCTTTTCACAAATCTTTCCTTCTCCATAAACATCTGGTTATTATTTGTTATCATTAATCAACACCGTTCTTATTTTTTCAGTGTTCCCATTGAGGTTATTGGGTACTGCCAGGCGTATACTGCCTACTGCTAGAAGCCTATCATCTAAAGGTCCCCTGACAGACCTGTCCGTGGACAATGATGGCATTGCTACGCTGACCATGCAGCGGCTGCCCGTCAACAGTCTAAATCTTGAACTTCTGCAAGAATTGAGCAAAGCACTCGATGAAGTGGGAAAGAACAAATCGAAGGGGTTGATCATTGCATCTGTGAGTATTTTAATATTTCTAAGGGTGTAATAAATAGATCTATTAAAGTTTGAGGGTATAATAAATAAAAGATAGTAAAGATATCAATAGATATCATGGGCTGTAAAATTAATAACACTTGTATATTTTATACAAAAATATAAGGTTTTTATTGGGTAAGAACACTATTGAGAATTTATTGAGTTTAAGCTACCAAAAGTAATCGTAGTAAGATATTGCTTAGTTGTATTTCTAAAACAATATAACTGTTAATCTGACGTTATTAAATCAATTTCCAGGCATCTCCTACTGTATTCTCAGCCGGTTTAGACATCACAGAGATGTATAATCCGGAAGAGCAGAGGATGACTGCTTTCTGGTCTACGCTGCAAGACTTCTGGTTGAAACTCTTCGGCTCACCCTACCCCACAGCTGCCGCTATTAGTGTAAGTTACCCTATAATTAATAATCTTATCAAATGGACAGGTAAAAAAAAATAGTTGAAAAAAAATTGTCATAGACGAAAATTTTCCCAGGGTACCAAAAATTTTAAGAATATTTATTATCAACAGAAATGGTAAGACATTTTGTTGATAATGTTCCTAAGCCCCCTAGTGGGGGCAACTGAGAATAACCCAAACATGAAATACCACTTTTTTAGACCTCATAGTGTAGCCTATAGTTGGAAGATTTTAAGATACCAATAACATTGATGTGATCCTTAACTTATTATCAATAGCCAAATCCCATCAAAAATGTGTTTTTATTGTTTCAGGGGCATGCCCCAGCCGGCGGCTGTTTGATTTCGATGAGCTGTGAATACAGGGTGATGGTAAACGGCAAATTCGGGATCGGCCTCAACGAAACGGCGCTAGGCATCGTGGCCCCTCGTTGGTTCATGGACACCATGTGTAATGTCATCCCACAGAGGCAAGCTGAGCTGGCCCTCACTACGGGTCGGATGTTCTCCGTTGATGAGGCGTTAAAGGTAAGGCGATAGTTTTTCCCTGGAGTAAAAAATCTCTTTAAAAAGGAATCAGACTTTGTCTGTTTGTCGAAACCATTTAAAAAGTTTATTATGAAGTAGACTTAAAAACTAATTTCCTGCTCTTCAAGATCAAAAAGGTTAAAAAATAATAATGTTCGTAATTAAAATTCAAAGTGAACACAACAATAATTTTAATGTTTAAAAACAATTACACGTTGTTAACTAGATGTATATCCGGCCTTCATTGGGTATTCAAAACACGTCTTTCAGCTCAAGGATATTCCAAAGTTCGTTAAAATTAGAAAGTCAATACAATATAATGAATAATTACCAAACATGTCGAAAACTAGGCAAACTACAAAATTAAATGTTAAAAGACACTTATCAAGTAGCATTGTTTATGTTCTAACACCTAATTATTAATTTTACAGGTCGGCCTAATTGACGAAACGGCGTCGGACAAAGCAGACGCAATCGCAAAGTGTAAAAAATTCATGGCAAAATTCGAGAACATTCCCCCTGCGGCCCGTAGCTTGACCAAACAAAAGATTAGGATGGACCCCATCATACGCCTTGAGAAGACGAGAGAGGCTGACCTAAATGAATTTAAAACGTTCTGCAAATTGCCTCAAGTACAAAAAGCTTTGGGAATGTACATACAAATGCTTAAACAAAAAGCAGCTAAGTAAATATTAAATGTTTGAATGTCCTATGTATACCTATTATGTGTAAGTAGGAAATTACTTTTGCACAAAGCTTTTGCATAAGTTTTGCTGTTTGATTGTATTCAATATTTTTACTTTAAAATGTAATTAAAATTGTCAATCACGGATTTTTATAAGTAATCTTTGTATAAAAAAATTAATTATAATAATCTTTAAATTTATATTACTCGTAAAAAAAGTTTAGTACAAAGAGAAGAGAATTATTTTGTAAGTAAGAATTTTATTGTTTTATGCATCCTTATTATGATATTGTTTACTGTTAAATAAACATGAATTTACCATAAAGTTGTATTATTTTATGAAACTTGTTTTCCGTTTTGCGTTCCAATCATCTGTATCGATTCCAACAAGTACCACTAG